TTTAGCTTCTTTGCATGTTTAAAATTTGCAGTGGTTTGAGTTTTGATTTATTTCCAGGCTGGTTTGGCATTTAACCCCGCTGCTTTGTTGCCTGGTGCGGCTCCCGTTGCTAAGGAGCCTGAAACAGTTGCCGTGGGCTTTGATCAACCCGTGAGCACAACTAGTACTTTACAAAATGCTGCGAAGGTGGGTAATGGGCATCTTCTGAGAAAGCGTGAAGTTTTGCGAATAAACTAAAAATCAAGGAAGATTTCATGGTATTAGGGAAGAGTAAGGGTCAGAAATAAGGGCAGCCTAGTGGATGTAGTAAGGTTATGAATAAAAGCTGGGAAAACTTATCTGTGGAATTTTACTTGGTTGTTTTCACTCAAGTTCTTCCATATTGCAGCCTTTTGAACAACGGTAGGAATTCACCTTGGTATCAGATGCTTTCAATTTCTGTTAAAACATCCAGGTGCTTCTAGCTTTTGAGTGTTTAGATATTTGTGTTTATTTTAATTATATTTTCAGTGCATCATTTAATATTCTTGTGATGTTAATATTAATACTAACAAAAAAAATCACACTGCACATTTATGTCAAAATTTATATACATAATTAAATTTCAGGGTCGAGCCAAAGTACAACAGAAGAGAAGACCTCCGTCAAGACAAGCCAGACAGGCAGCAGCAAGACAAGCGGAACAGGACTTTGTTGATGGAGTAGGTGCCATGACAACAGCACCATCAGCAGTTTCCATGACAACTGGAACAACAACAACAGTCACCAGAAAAGTTCCACAAGCAAGTAATGCACCAACCTCAAACAAACCAGTGAAGGACATTTTTGGAAATGATGACCTTGTTCCTGAAGGAAAAGCGGGTCAAGGTCAGGGACTACTTCAAGGAAGTGAGGACATTTTCGATGCAGGATTTGGAAACAAGCCAAAGAGTGCTGAAAAGAAAGTCACCAACTTTGAAGATGATTTATTTGGTGCAGCAAAAACTGTTCCAACACCTGCTGTGCCTCCCTCCTCCCAAGTGACACAAAACGACAAAGACGATATTTTTTCAGAACCCAAGAAAACTGCAAAAGCATCCTCAATTTTAGACGATGACTTGTTTGGGGACAGTGTATTGAATAAACCTCCCCCAAGCTCAAAATCTGTTGGCAAAGCGAAGCCTTCTGGTGCTCTTTTGGATGATGATATTTTCGCAGACTCCAGTTTAAATTCCAAAAAAGATGAAAAAAAAGAAGACAAGAAAGCGACAAAAGCTGCCAAACAGGAAGAACTCTTTGGTGTAAGTAGATCAAGTAAAAATCAAAAAGTCTTAGGCCGCATTCAGAACAGTGGACTTACTAGTTGGCCTGGTCAAATATGGCAACCCACTAAAAAGCTTGCAGTCTAATCCACTTATAGTCACTGAATAGATTCCCCGTGGGCCAGCCATATTTGACCCTCGGACTAGTTAGTCCACTGTTCTGAATGCGACCTAAAAAGGCCTTTTTCACACTGATCATTACACCTATCTATATTAAAGCACTTAGATACAGATATGTGTAATGCATGATGTGATAAGGATCTTTGCCTTTAGGGCTCATTCCCAATAATCTTTTAATCTGATTGCATTCAGCAAGAGTCCCCATGGAGTTGGATCGATATACACAGACTGATAGTTTCATTGGAAATGAGCCCTAAGACTTCTTGTCTATTACAAATGCCATTGCACAGACTAATACCAAGGATATACATGAGCTTTTGTAATTTATTTTGAACACACAAATGTTCTATAGGAAGAGGAAACAACTGAAAGTCCAGAGCAAGAAGATGAAGTGAGCATTTGTTTACTACTTTTGTGATATTTTCCATTATAATTGATGAAAAAAATTAAACAACAATTTCATAATAAGAATATGCATAACTGAAACTATGTATCTGAAAAAACTGGATGGTTAGAGTGGTATTCGATTATCTACAGTTTTTCAGATATTCTTGATTTTTGATTTGTGATATTATTATATTGATGAAAATTATTTCTTTATGAAAATTATTTCTTTAAGTTATTAATGAACCCTACATCATTTGTCCCCTTTAATAAACTATAATCAACTGATGATATAATTGTCAAAAAAATAGATTAAAGAGATTTATTTATGATTCTAGTGATAGATTGTTGGGAACAAAAATTAAAGCGAAACACCTACATTTTGCTCTTGTCTCAAGAGCACCATGGACTGTGTTTCAAATTTAGTGGCCATTATCACTAGAATCAGTAAATACAATCCCTTGGAACCATGAAAAATCTTACTGATAATTCAAAATATTATTTCTAAATTTCTGACAAGTTACAATTATTGGGGAAAAATCAGTAGAACCACCCTGACTTTCTAAAACTTGGTAAAAACTTGAAAATTTTGTGACCTAAAATTAAATCAATATTTGAAAATGCCAGAATCTCACATGGTCATTTTAGCTGAAATATTCAAAATTGTCCAGTCGTCAATTTTCAAGTTTGATGAAATTTTGTAAGTGAAAAAAAATTGTCAGCAGAGAATCGTCTTTTGAAGAAAATTTCAAGACCGACTAAATTTTCAAGTTTTTTTTACTGCATCCAAACTCTTATCTAAACCCAGTGTATGTATTATGCTGGCTACAGATAAACGCTGTCATTGAAACATAGGGTGACTGGGAAAAAAAACATCATGAAAATTTTTAAAACTTGAAATATCTGCAGATAATGGTATAGTTTAGATTGTTGTTAGTTTAGGTGGTGTTTTATGTAGTTAGATTAGCTTTTAGCATATTTCAAATATGTAGACTTGCTGTGGAATCTGGGACCTGTTGCACTTTAAAGCAATTTAGACCAAAATTTTATATTTATAGCTGCAGGTTTATGGGTCTTGCACAGCTCCATTTATTAGTGGAAAGAATCATTGAAGTTCAAGTGCACCAATTTAAAATGCTCATTTAATTATTTGGGTCACATGATTCCATAGAAGGGTTTGTGACATCTTAAATAGGTCCATCAGTATATCTACGTAGTATGTAGCAGAACCCTGTTACTGTACATATTATCTGACATGTACAATCAGTTATATTTATAAATGGTGGTGTCTATTTAACATATTCTTTGTTACAGGGTTGTATACTTTTTTAAAACTTTGTACTTTGTAGTAAGAGTGGAGAAAATTTATTAATATGTAGAATAAATGAACATGCATGAACTTGCACACACACATACATACATGTACATGCATGTACACAAGGGGCACGCACATGCTACGCACAGACACAGAAAACTGCATGTTTCAAACTGGTGGAAGCATTTTATAAAATAAAGTGTGTCGTGAAGATTAAAACCTCTTCAACCTTAAATGAGACTAAATAGACAGCTTCTTGTGCATTTTCTTTTAATTTTACATTGTCGATTTTTATGTAATCATTGCAGGATGAAGACATGTTTGCAGCAGCAGCAGCCAGTAAAGCTGCAGCGAAGAAACAGAAAGAAAAACCCAAAACACGAGATGAGGACATATTTCAAGATGACACTGACATTTTTGCGGACATTCCAGCAGCCAAACCCAAAGAAAAGAAGAGCAAGAAGAAAACTGGCACAAAATCAGATACCAAACCATTATTTAAAGGAGATGTTGGTGAGTTTAACAGGGGGTGGGGGTGGGGGGAGAGGGGAAGGGGCTGAGATGTTGGTGAGTTTAACAGGGGGGTGGGGGGTGGGGGTGGGGGGAGAGGGGAAGGGGCTGAGATGTTGGTGACTTTTATGGGTTTTTATGGTTTTTGGGTTGTGGGGAGTGGGTAGTCAGGATGATGAAGCAGTGGGCTAAAAACTTAAGTCAGGTTCCAGGGCTAAGAACTTAATTACCAAGGTAACATGGTCACATGGGCACATCTTGCCCAATCAGGAGCAGTGTTACAGCACTCTCATGGAAATCCTAGTAAACTAAGCTAAGTAACTGATTAATTTTTTTTTCTTTTAACTGGGGCCAGGTCATGGCAGTGAGTTTTAGGAGTCTGTCATGAGGGAGGGAGGGTGGAGGGGGTTCTGGGAGATGAAACAGGGGGTACATGTAGAAACAGGGGGTGAGGGTGATGTCCTCACAATCTTGTTGGTAATTTGGTAATCCCGTTTGCACCCCCACCCCACCCCAGGGGTGAATTTAATAATGTCTTCATACGCAACTTACTATTAATATGTTCTATACTTGATTATATTTAGCACTTGTTGAATTTTATTTCCAGATGACATCTTTGCTGACACAGACCCAAAACCTAAGACCAAGAAAACGAGTAAAGGCACAAAGAAAAAGACCAGTCCAGCAGAAGCTGCAAATATCTTTGACGAGAACGCACCAAGTATTTTTGACGACCCTCTAAATGCTATGAACTGAGAGCAGAAATAACTTTGTTTTTTTTTTTTTTTTCTTGAGACATACCCTCACTTATCCTGGGAATAAAGTATCTTGATTTATTGAAGAATTATTCTGTGATATGAAGTTGTAGGATGAAGAATGATATTATACATAGAATTTTACATACCATCATGGCTGGCTATCACTTAATATATATGAGTTTTAATCATATTTTGTTGGTCTTTTTCTTGTTTTGCTGAGTATAAACTTACTACTAAGATAGAGAGAAATAATTCTTTCTCAAAAGACAGAATTGATTTTTAAATTGCAGAAACAAATGAATAATGTTAAAACTCAGCAGTTGGAAGATATTATTTCCTGTAGAAGTATTCATTTGTTTACCATGACATGTGAGTCATATCAAAGGTATGAATTTTTTTTAAAACTGTAACATACTGTCTGACAAACCTCTAGTCAAAACATATCATCAAATCACATAGATAATCACGGATGATGCAAGATGCAAGATATCAAAAAGAGCCCAAAATTAGTTAAGCTGTAAAATAAAGACAACAGCCCTGTCCTACCAATATATAATACGCATATAAAGCATGATTCTTTTTGATTTTGAATATCTTTCCTTCTAGTTGCCACCTATTCTCTGTATCTGACTCTCTCTCTCTCTCTCTCTCTCTCCGCTCCCCAGGAGTGTTAATTATCTTACTCCTGCCTTGTCATTTATACAGCTAAATTTATTTTATTAAAGCATCCTCGTTACCTACAGCATTGTGCTCAAGAATTGCAGGGGATTTATTATAATTTTAAAAAAATTATGGGGCAAACCCAAGCAATCTGACACATGAAGTGCACATTTTGTTAGAATGTTATGTAAACATGTGACATTTGAAGTTACCGTCGTCTTGTGTAAGGTTGTTGATGGCGATTCTGATTTAAATGATGACAGTTTGAATTTTCACCCAAAACGGAATATTGTGTTTGGGATACACTTTGTTAGAATATGTTCACCTTATAATAGAAAACTAGAAGACCATATGCAATAATAATAATAATAATTAATATGGTGTTTTGAAGGGATAAATCCCTAAGTTATACAGGTCATCATTTTTGTCTCGTAAAAAAGAAGAAAAATTCTATATATATATATATCTATATATACAGGACTCTCTGTAAGCTGTCCAGAAAATAAACTTATTACATGACAAATGTCTGTTATGTAATACAGGAAACCACCTCATTCATGTAAGCTTCATATATGTCTTTATATACTTTGATTTTCTGCCTACCCATACTGTTGCCATGTGATGCATTTGTTTTTAACAACCTTACTGCCCAACTGCATTTTTGTTTTACTTCAAATGTAACAGGGGATGTTGGCAAAAAGGCATTTTGAGTTCAATGATGGGCAAATATAATTGGACAAATATTTTCTTTACTAAAGTTATTTTTGTGATATTATAGAAATAATGACCAAAGAATTATTTTTTTTAAATTACTAGGGAGCTGAAGGCTGGACAGCGTGTAAGGGATCTCTAGTCCCTTTTGCTTTAATTTTAATCAAATTAAGCATAAGCGTTGAAGATTTTCTGGTTTTAAAAGTAAGTGTTTTGCACATTTCGTGGTGTTTTTCAATCGAGTTTCTTGGTACAAATAAACTGAAAGTGCAGGAAATCGTGGATATTTTGCATTAGTATTTTACCAAGTGGCACCCAAGCTTCATTTGCTTCAGGACCCCATGGGAATTTGAGGCATGGGAGAGACTACTGGGACTCTTTTAATCATGTCATCTATGCCCTTTCTAAACCACTTCAAGATAAAACATAAGACACGTAGTTTAGATGATAGTTTATTCAATAACTAGAGGAACTAGAAAGGCATTTGTTACACTTCAGAGAGAGTCTGAATTTAAAACATATCAATATTTTTGTCTTACATCCACACCTTGTACAGATAAAAATATTGCCAATGCAGTTTTACAGCTGGATGCTTTATAAATGAATGAAACCAAATACTGAAATCGGTTTTGCTCTTTGTAAAACTTTCCAAATGTACAAAAATTGCCTAAATAAGTTCATTGACAGTTGGAAAAAACAGCGATAACTTGGAACTGGGGTTATTATTCTAGCTCAGGCGCTGAAGTCAGTGCATATATATATATATATATATATATATAAGATATAGTATAATAGAAGAAATCGTCTGAATATTTATCCCCAGTTGACGTCAACGCAGCACTTCATGTTGGTTTGTGGATTCGCGCACCAGCAGGTGAGGACTTGACCGCTCGGGCCGGCTTGAACGCCAACATGGACGCCGCAATTCGGGTCCACGGAGCACTGGAAGAACCGTTTATCTGAAACGATGAAAAATACGGCGAAGTTGTATTATTCGTTATCTCGTATGTAAGGATAGTCACAAAAGTAAGTGATCAATATCTTGCTCAGTCACAAATGAAAACACTTTCGGTCTCTTCAGAAAGTTATGTTAAAAGTTCTCCTTTTAACCGTTACGAGTGAAAATCATCAGCCTCCAATTCCAATACGAGAGTGCCCCAAAACTTAAAGATCCCCTAAAATTGATCAATCGTTTTATAGAGGTCTATCTCTCATTCAGTATTTCTAAGCATCAAATAAAAAGTAAGGGATCTCTCGAGGCTCTCCTTTCGAAACTGTTTTTTTTATGTTGTTCTTGTTCGCGCGCGCATTTATTGAACCAACTTCTAAAACCAACCAAATGAAAATCAAATGAATGATGACTCTTAGCATAAGATCTAGATATAAAGAAAGGGAGGGTCCCTTTTTACGTACTTCTCACTGGAGACGCCATTGAAGTCGCCACCAACAGCATGGCAACCAGCACGATCAAAACTGTTTTGGACATTATGAACGATGGGTAAGACCTGGAAAACGATAAAATAAACTTAAATGACAAAAAAGTATTATGTGCGAAATGAGATTAAGAAATTTCGATGAAAAATGCTTTGTGATTTGATGTTTATGAAAGAAGGGGTCTAGCTTCATATATTTCTGGAGTGATTCTAATAAAAAAAGGAAGCAGAAAGAAGCTTTTAATGCAATATTAAGACATTTTGCTAAAAAGGTATTCGATATGAAGTTGAATCAATGCGTAGCAAGATAAAAGCTTTATATATTTCATTCGATCGAGAACATTGCCTGATTTGAGTTTCACTTAACAAAGCCAAGAATTTTCTTGCGCATTTTCATATAAAACAAACGAACAAAAATGAACAAATAGAGAAAGAAAAAAATCCAGCCTTTAATAAGGAGGGTAGCACTCTTTTTCTTCGTTTTGCAAGTCCTAATTATCCATTTCTTACATGATACGGTTTTCAATGTTAATGCTGAGTTACAATCTACGTTGAAAAACGCATTTTTCTAAGAAATTACGAAACGCTTAAAGCAAAATAACTCTTCCTTTGAGATTCAAAATTCCGCAATAAATACATTGTAAACAACGCCTGGAAATATATTCTATTGCATTTTCCCACTAAAACGACTGTTATTGTAGTAAAACTAAAATCTGTGCTTGTCACTTGGGCTTTCGATGCCTTTCTTCGCGGTCGACAAGTGCATCCGTTGCCAATGACGTTTAGGTGTCACGCGGATTCTCGCGTTCATTCGAGACCAAAATAACATGGCGGGAAACCCTCAGACGTAAGATGCGAGTTTTTGTACAGTGCGTCGGATAACGAAAAGCCCAGAATTGCACACATTGTAGATATAAATGCATTTTGAGCAAAAAGACGAATATATCTTATGAATCTTATAATATTGTTATACAGTGTTGTTGTTGTCTGCTTTTCCCGCGGTTTTAAGTAGGTCACCAGAAACTATCGCTCGATACCAGAGGGCTCCGTCTTAAGAGATTTTAACAAAAAACCGTACGTTTAGGAAAAAAACCATGGATTAACTTTGAATGCAGGAATTGGGTCGTTGACCATTGGTAAGTACGGTAAAATTACCGTTTTTTCCAGGAAAATCGTATTTTTGGCCAAAACGAAGAGTTATTATGACTTTAAGATTGAATAAAGAAAATATGCTGTAATTTTTTTTAAATAGTATTATTTTTGCGCGCGTTTATCCAATCAATCTATAAAAACAACGAAATAAAGAAACATGACGCTAGGAGCGCTTACCTTAAAACAAGACAAGACCGCTGTAGCTCTCACCAGTAGGTAGTCTGTCTTTGACTCCGTCTGAAGTGTTGTGAACGCAAGAAGAACTATATCAGCGGCTTTTATATAGCCACACCATATACGTAAACAGACGCGCTAGTAGTGTCATATTTTTTCACTTTCTGAACCACAGTGTAGTGAAATCAGGATGGGCATATCCTGTTAATTGTTTCGTGCATCACGATTTTCCAGATTTTGTGCTTTGTGGGTGGACGATTTATGCTCTCTTTGCTAGATAAGCATTTTAATGACATGATTTTCATGATTTTTGAAAAAAATAATACTAAAAAATAAAGTGAGTCAGCGTCTTCACAGATACCCTGATGGGTGATAATAACCAATATCCATGAACCAGTACGAGAAAGGCTAAAAAAGTTATGAACTTACTATTCAAAAGTTTCTTGTGGGATCTTAATTCCTATCATTATTTTGTCACAGTTATGTGGTGCATTTGCTTTCGTACAATGAAGGTCACCCACGCAAGCAGCTATTACAGAATGTACCGAACGATCTTGGCCAAAAGGAATGTTACACCTCTAACGTCATGTTTTTGTATGCAAACTATCACATCACAACTGTAAAGCGTTTTGAATTGTGTTTTTTTATTATTTATATTTTTATCCAGGTGCCATATCTAACAAAACCTACGTCAAAATAATAAAAAAAAAACATCAGCAAAGATGTCCACTTTTTTATCATTTATTCAAATTTAGAATCTGACGTTCTGTAGTGACATTGACAAATAATTCAATAAATATTCCATGTCTCGAAAATAAGCTTCCGATTGCAGCCGAGACATTCATTTCTGTTTCCTCCAAGTGGCGCTACGGTAGGCCTACTGTTTAGTTTATCAAACATCGCGAAAACTGCTCAGGGCTCCGTATCTCGAAAGGTTCGCTATGTTGCGGAGTGGAGCATATTAGGGTTGCCCATGACCTACATAATGTCGTTTCATTTTGGGGTGGGTTAGGATCTGATATTTATTTCTTACCTGTATATTTAGGAGCCTATTGAACAATTATGCGTTCAATGCAAGCAGTTTTAATTTAAGAAAAAAATGTATATGAAGTTTCGCCTGTCGGAAAACAGTGAATGTCCAATTAGACATAAAAGACACTCACTTTATCCTGCCCCCTTCCCCCGATGGGTGTAAGTGAACCTTCACTTTAGTAGGAGTTGTCTTCAGTTCATCTTCAGTTTTCAGGCAGCATGGAGTGGATGCGAGGCGGCCCGGGTACGAAGTATACGAATATTTCAATTTCAGCCGATTTAATATGACATTTTGAGATGTTTATATTAGAACTTTGATTTTAACTTATTTTTGCTTATTTTTGAAAAACATTTTGAAGCCTGCGTGCTTGCTGGGTGTGGCCATTCCCCAATATGTTCCTCTCGTAATATTCTGCTTCCTCCAAAACTTGGTAACCTCTTCACGTCTCATGAAAATGCAGAGTGAAGTGTTGCTTCTCATGTTTTGAAAGCCGTTGGCAAAAATTCCAGTAGCAGTAAAATTTGAGGTGAGAAACAGCCGAGAAGGGAAAATGCTGTGGAATGGCCCGTTTGTAACCCTAAATATTGGCGTGTTGGCATTAAGGGACTGGTTTGTGCTTAGTTACTGAATGCTATATAGGTATACACACACCAATTTCAACGTTAAAGGGCATTATACTTCCGTGTCGAATTCTGGTACAATTTCACTAAGAAAGTTGTAAATTTGTGAACTGAACTAAAGCTATGCTTTCTCTGCGTGACAGATTATAAAATCAACCTTTAAAGGCATAGGTGGCGAAATGATAGCGAGAAATGCTGTTTGAAACGCCAATTTCAATTCCGCGCTGTTCATTCAAAATGTACTATCGAAAAGTAATTTCAATTAGTGTGACATCACGAATTTTGGAATCTTTTACACATTAAACATTGAATATTTCAAACATGACATACTTGATACTGCGTGGTTATAAGTTATGGAATTTTGTTCNGCGATTTGAGGTTTATTCAATCACATGAAGGAAAGGCCAAGCTTTATATATTTCTGAAAAAGAAAGAGAGTAGGAAGAAGCACTTGATGCAATATTAAGAGATTTTGCTAAAAGGGTATTTGATATGAAGTTGAATCAATGCGTAGCAAGATGAAAGTTTTATATATTTCATTCAATCGAGAACATTGCTTGATTTAAGTATCACTTAACCTTGGACATCATAACGAATTTATTATGTCCAAGACTTAACAAAGCCAAGAATTTTTTGCGCGTTTCATAGAAAACAATAAAACAAGCGAACAAAAGTGAATAAATAAAGGAAAAAATGAAAATTCAGCCTTTAGTAAAGAGAGTAACACTTTTTTCTTTTTGCAAGTCCCAGTTATCCATTTCTTACATGATACGGTTTTCAAAGTTAATGCTGAGTTACAATCTACGTTGAAAAACGCTTTTTTCGAAGAAAGTACGCAACGCTAGAGAATGGATAAAGAATTTTAATTTGTAATTTTAATAGTATTATTTTTGCGAGCATTAAATCAATCAACTTATAAAAATAACGAAAGAAATAATCGTGACGTTAGGAGCTCTTACCTAAAAAACAGACAAGACGTCAGTTGCTCTCACGAGTAGGTATCCCTGTCAGAAGTATGTTGTGAACGCAAGAAGAACTATATCAGCAGCTTTTATATAGCCACTGTATACGTAAAGCAGTGCCATATTTTTTCATTACCTGAACCACGGTGTAGTAGAATCATGAAGGGCAAATCCGGCTTATTGTTCTGTACATCACGATTTTTCACACTTTGTGGGTGGCCGATTTGTGCTCTTTATACTAGATAAGCGTTTTAATGACATGTTTTTCATGTATTTGAAAAATAATACTAAAAAAATAAGGTGAGTCAGCGTCTGCACAGATACCCCGACGGGTGATATTAACCAATTTCCAACAACCAGGCTAAAAAATTAAGAACTTACTATTTAAAAGTTTCTTGTGGGATCTTAATTCCTATCATTACATAGTCACAGTTTCTGTGGTGCATTTGCTTTCGTACAATGAAGGTCACCCACGCACGCAGCTATTATAGAATGTATCTAACGATATTGGACAAAAGGAATGTTACACCTCTAATCCCTCTCTCTCTCTCTCTCTCTCTCGCGCGATCTTTTTTTTTTTTTTGTATGCAAACTATCACATCACAGCTGTAAACCGTTTTGAATAGTGTTTTGTTTTATGCCAGGGCGCCATATCTAACAAAACCTACTTCACAACATAAAATCATTGGTGCGGATGTACACTTTTTATTATTTGACGTTCCCTAGTGACATTGACAAATATTTCAATAACTATTCCATGTCTCGAAAATAAGCTTCCGATTGCAGCCGAGACATTCATTTCTGTTTCCTCCAGGTGGCGCTATGGTACTGTTCAGTTTGTCAAACATGTCGAAAACTGCTCAGATAAAAGCGGACCGTATTAGGGTTGCCCATGACCTGCATAATGTCGTTTCATTTTGGGGTGGGTTAGGATCTGATATTTATTTCTTACTGGTATATTTTGGAGTACGTTGAACAATAATGCGTTTAATGCCAGAAATTTTAATTTGAGAAAAACTGTATATGAAGTTTCACCTGTCGGAAAACAGGGAATGTCCAATTAGACATTAAAGACACTCACTTCATCCTGCTTCCTTCCCCCTATGGGTGTAAGTGAACCTTCTCTTTAGTAGTTGTCTTCAGTTCATCTTCAGTTTTTAGGCAGCAGGGAGTGGATGAGAGGCGGCCTGGGTACGAAGTATACGAATATTTTAATTTCAACCGATTCAGTATGACATTTTTCAGATGTTTATAGTAGGACTTTGATTTTAACTTATTTTTGCTTATTTTTGAAAAACATTTTGAAGCCTGCATGCTTGCTGGGTGTGGCCATTCCCCAATATGTTCCTCTCGTAATATTCTGCTTCCTCCAAAACTTGGTAACCTCTTCACGTCTTATGAAAATGTAGAGTGAAGTGTTGCTTCTCGTGTTTTGAAAGCCGTGGGCAAAAATTCCAGTAGCAGTAAATTTTGAGGTCAGAAACAGTCGAGAAGGGAAAAATGCTGTGGAATGGCCCGTTTGTAACCCTAAATATTGGTGTGTTGGCATTAAGGGACTGGTTTGTGCCGAGTTACTGAATGCTATATAGGTACACATACACCAATTTCAAAGTTAAAGGGCATTATACTTCCCTATCGAATTTTGGTACAATTTCAGTTAGAAAGTTGTAAATTTGTGTGCTGAACTAAAGCTTTGCTTTCTCTGAGTGACAGATTATAAAATCAACCTTTAAAGGCATAGGTGGCGAAATAATAGCGAGAAATGCTGTTTGAAACGCCAATTTCAATTCCGCGCTGTTCATTCAAAAAGTACTATCAAAAAGTAATTTCAATTAGTGTGACATCACGAATTTTGGAATCTTTTACACATTAAACATTGAATATTTCAAACGTGGCATAACTAAGGTTGCGTGGTTATAAGTTATACAACTTTCTTCATTTTGACAACTGCCCTTTATGCCTTTAAACATGTTTTATCAAATCATAATTTCAAGTTTGTCGCTGTGGCATGTATGAACTGTTATATTAGAATTTGTAGCATTCTTCAACAAGGCAGCAAGTGTTGATTTGACGTTTAGTTCTAATATGGACAAAATACGCAATAATATCTAAAACGTTTGCTAGTCCACCACAAAAATCATTGTTTAAAACTCGTTTTTTATCGTAAGACCAAATCATGGGGTATCTAGGGGACCATTTTAGTTTATTAAGAGATTCTAGATAGCATCATTGAAACTTTGTTCGTGTGTTTTGTACATTTTTTGATTAAACATCTTGAATTCACCATCACGAGAGCCAATCAAAAACTACAAACTTAGATTTTTTTCTGTGGAATGCAATTCTGAATAGTTCGGGCATAGTATAACTTTGATTAAAGAAAAATTGATCAAATTTCCAAGAAAGCTGAATGTTTGGAATACGAAGGTTTAATATGTCTATAACGTGTAAAACGTTTAATG